TAAGTATTCGCATTCCGTTTTGAAAAAGTATCTGCAATTTAAAACGAAGAGGTAATTAAAATTCACGAAATTATTTAGTTTGTCGTTAAGCAACGGTGCATTACCGATAGCTCCCTTTCTTCGGAAGATACTCCTTGAACTGCTTCAACGTGACGTTGTGACCAGGAATTTTGGTCCTGTAGGGGAATTGCTCGTCACAGAAACTGAACACAACAGTGGTGAAATCGTCCTGCTTCGGTTTCCTCAAAGTGGACTGATTGGATTGGACGTACGGTTGGCTCTGCGACGCAAACTCGTGCGTCTGTTTCGAAACGTTGAGGTGTCGTTGCTTGCAACTAGCACGGATTTTATTCTCTTCCATAAGTCTTCTACAAGTCTCCTCTAATTGTATAACCTGTGACATAATTATTCGTATCACACTCGTCCGTTCGGTAAACCAAGAAAAGAAAAGAACAGCTAGTCACCGTATGAGGTGGCGTTAGCGGTGGCATTCCCGGATCAGCGACGAACGGTTGAGCAGGTACCCCCATGCTCCACGTTTCTCTGTTTGGCCTTTCTAAGGACCCGCTACGCGAGCCGTACCTCTTGCCATGGCGACTACCATGCTTCAAATCAACCTTCTTGTCCATTTCCTTAAACCGAGGCAACAGACGAACGTCCTTGTTTACGGAAGGCTGCACGTCGCTGACCACGCTCACTCCACTATCCGTTAGTTCCGTCATTGACTTTTTCGTGGCTGACCGTCTCGTCATGTCCGACCTTCGGAATCTTTGGTTGTGACCTGCGCAAAAGACAACATTTTACACTTTACTAATGATCATAATTCGTACATACGATGCACGCGCATAGCGCCATTCGTTATATCTACCTTGAACGTGCAGATCCTGCTTGTGGAGGAAATCACAGTATCCGTAATCCGATGGCACAGATTTAGATTTGGGCAGGTGTGAGCTCATGGAACCGGCTCCAACAAGATCGCTGCCCTCTTGAAAGTCATGGATATTACCGCTATCCACTGAGAATGTGGAGTCCATATCTTTTTCTTTCCTCTGCTTGTAAGGCCGTGGATAATTATGAGTGGGACGCCTTCTCTCGGGTGAGAGTCTGGGTGATCTTGAAGGTGTTTGATCGGACCAGACGCGAGATACGTGCTCGTCGAGGATCGCCTGATCGCTGTTTTCCTCCATAGACAACTTTTCCTTCAGCGCGTCGCCGAGAGTCTTGGAAGCGCCACAAGTTTCTACCGACGCATCGTTACCGTTCGACGCGTCGTTGTCTTGATACAGATATTTCTCCAGTTTCTCGTTGGCCTTCTGCTCTCGTGCGACGATCTCCAATTTCTGCGTGAGCACTTCCGCGAATTGCTCCGTCGACATCTGTTTCGGGGATACCATACTGTAAGATCGGCAAGGTTCGATCAACGCGAAGCAACGTCACGCACCGAGCACGTGTAAACGCTCGCGAATATTCGGCAGAATATTCGGCAGGCCGACCGACCGTCGAGAGCGAAAAACTCACCACTCGGCGAGGAGACACGTACGCGAGGGATAACAAGCCAAGCGTACCGAGACTTAGTGCTTATTCTATTTTTGTCTAAAATATACATAGTCAATCCAATAGTAACAGTGTATTCATTCCGACGACACCCGCATTTGGGCAAAAACCGCTTACAATACGCTGGGTTCGTGGGACGACATGGTGCGACATGGATTCGCGATTTATATTCGCGGACTCTTTAATTGCCCTACTTGATTGCTTGCTGTATGCGTATATATACCTCTTCCGAGCGAGCCGAAGGTGGACTGGTCGAACACGATATGATATCGTGATTCGAGGGCCTCGATGAAAGGGAAAGAAAATGTTTGTCAGCAACGGCGACCAGGCATTAGGCCCGGTCTACAATGAGTCGTTAGTTGTTAGTCAGAAGTCGCAACTATATGTTGATCCTTTTCCTTTCTGGGTGGAAGAAAAAGGACCGACATATAGTTCCGACTTCTGACTAACGACTAACAACTCATTGTAGACCGGGCCTTAACTTAAGAGGCTTTTCCAGCCGTATCAATTTTACTGCAGACATCTCCTCATTGTCGGAGGATCTCCCCGGGTTCATTCTCAAATGGGCGGACAGACGCCTTCGATCTGGTCCGCGAAATTTCCTCCTCGTGGCGGCGAAACAGAGAGCTCGACAACACAATCGCCGTTGACGTCTTGACGACGCGCATCGCCGAATCGAATTTCTTTTCTCGTACTCTCCTCACATAAAACTGAGGTGCAGGATTACGGGACAAAATTTTAAACCAATTGTACAACAGCGTAATTCATTTGATTAAGTGAAAATCGCATTATTATTCTCATCAATATTTTTGATATACAATAATAATTATTAATTAATTAGGTACAGGAACACTTTAACGTTTGTGATATTAATCGATAATGATCAATTACGTACAATTAAAAATTGTCGATCGCACACGTCGTCTTCAGTATCAATTTACAGAGACACGATCGAATTTTCAAATAAACGCATGCCATTCAATTTTTTTATCGATTTTCCCACGGGATCAAGCGTAGGAAGCGAGCGGCAAATTAAAAAGTCGAATCATCGATTGAGGGCTATCCGGCATTTTTCGCATTTCATTGTACAGTTCAATGTAACAACTGTGTTCTAATCTAATCCCTCCGGTCTCGAATTTTATTCTTTTTTTTTCTTCCAATAAAAACTTTATACAATATCTTTTTCTTACAAATCGAGAGACGAAACGATAGATTAGGTACACTCTTACGCTATTACGATCTTTGTTAGAATTAAAAACACACACTTTTGCATAAGTGCACAAGCGTTATATGCATAACGAATTTGATCGGTCCATTTCCTTGTGCACTTACTTATAGACCAATCAAATTCGTTATACATACGCTTATGCACTTATGCAAAAGTGTGTGCTCCCCGCTGAAACATGCATGCCTGAATATTCGAGTCCTCTGCCATTTTGGCGCTTACAGCGCGTACCGGAAGTAACGATGTGTACGCGGACCTATCATCCCGTGTCGGAAACGTGGCAGCGGACGGGGCGCCGTTGGCAGTGTTGGCGCTGCTCTCGCACGTATCTCCCGGTGTAGCTCGTCCGCCGTATGGAGCGATCGGAGCGATCGACACTGAGCGGCTGAGAGGCGTTTTGCGCGTCACGAGACAACGAGCGACAGTGATCACCGGCCGTCGAACATCCGCACGAGGAGAAACGTGAGTTCTTGCGCGTCTTTCACTCCTAAGCGTTCACGAGAAGCAAGTTTCTCACGCGGGACTGGCGAACCCCACTTGCTGTCGCGATCACGATGCGTTGTCGATTTTCCGCTCGAGAAAACAAAATAATCGCTGCTGTTAAAGCGAGACGGTCGTTCCGTGAAAGATTTTGAGACGCACCCTGGAAATTTCATGCGAACCGCTTCGTTATTTCTGCACGTATCTGTCAGAATTACGTTCGGCATTGCGTGCGACTCGCGGAGACGCGTGGATGAATTTGTACAGGATTGACATAAAGTATCGCGATGCGCGGACCAGGCGACCGACCTCAGTGAATTCGCGCATATTGACGGTGTTTCGCGGCGGAAATTGATGACCAGAGCGGCTGAAACATGATCTTTTGATATTGCAGAATGAAGTGGCACGTTTTGCTCGCAGCGTTCGCTGTGCTGTGCGCGGCCGTGTACGCAGAGGAGGAAGAAGAGGTCGCCAGATTATTAGTCGCTAAGCAGATACTCAACAAATACCTGGTAGAAAACATGGACATAGTTATTAAGGTAATGAAGAGGGGAAGATTTCTCTTACGTTCGACATTTCCGTCAACAGTATCGTACCGAAGCTTCCCTCTAACGATCCATGGATGTTTTCCGCACTACTGTACCAAAATCTTATTTTACTTCACTCGGCAGTGCATCATTCGAATGTCACTAATATAAAGCAATTTGCAGTACACTATTTACAACACTGGCAACGTGGCAGCGTTGGAAGTCGAGATTACAGACAATTCGTTCCATCCGGACCACTTCACTCACGTGAGCGGCGAGTTGAACGCCAGGATCGACCGCGTGCCACCGTTCACCAACGTGAGCCACACCGTTGTCGTGAGGCCGCGTAAGTTTGGATACTTCAACTTCACTTCGGCCGAAGTCCTTTACCGCCGCAAGGAGGACGCTCCCCGGCTGCAGGTGGCTGTGAGCAGCGAGCCTGGCGAGGGGCTCATCGTGGCGTACAGGGACTACGACAAGCAGTTTTCGTCTCATGTGGTACGAATGCATGTATTTGTACAATGACCGTAGATGATCTGTGATACAGTTTACAAAGCGTCGCAGAGATAGATGATCGTAAATCTTACACAAATTTTCGAAATTTAATCATATACGGGTATTAACATAAAAACTAAATACTACGAGGTGTCGTATATTACGCGTGTATATATCGTACTGTTTGGCATATTCTTATGTTCACTATTTATACCACGATATCTAATCTAACTTTCTTCCCGAGTACATTGTTACAAATTATTTTATTTCCGTTATATGATGTTAAGTACATTGTTTCCTTTATAACAAAATTACACTAATTATTGCCTAAGGTCTTGGTAAATTAGGTAAATCTATTTATATATTGTGGAGCCAAGTTTCGACTTAATATAATCCTGTTTTGTGTTGTCTCCCGTAGGTCGATTGGGCCGCGTTCGCCGTGATGACTCTACCTTCCCTACTCATTCCATTCGCCTTGTGGTACTCGAGTAAATGTAAATACGAAAAATTGCTGAAGACTACAAAAAAACACTGATTGTACATTGTATGTTAGAATCGTTTCCAGATCACTATAAATTTTCTTATACCATTGTAAGAAACACGACTGTTCCACTATGTACATCTAATTTTGTAATAAACGTGGCGTTATTTATGAACATCGCGCGCGTTGCACTTTTTGTTTACTTAAGAATATATTCAATTTCTTGATATTTGAATTTCCATCATCCAAGAAATGAAGACGGTCTATTGGAGGTCGCCTAGTTACCTTGGGAGTGTTTTTGTTTCGCAGCGAGATATCTTTTTCTCTCAAAACTTGTTGTGTCCTATTCGGGACTAGGAATTTATATCGGATTTTTTACTTGGCAAGTGAATAACTAAACTATCTTCTGTCTTCTCTAAGCGCTCCTATGCTAAACTTAGGATACAACTTGAAAGACTACTATGCTATACATACGTCTTATAAATGTATACATATCACAGTTTTACAACATATAAAAAAAAATAAGGTTTCCTCTCTATGATAACGTACGATATATCATGTACATCGAAATTGTCTATCGCTTTATTTACGAAAACAAAAATGTTTTATGACTAGGAACTATATCGTTGTTAAAATAAGTATAAATAGTACACAGAAGTTCGTGTATCATGGCAATGTTGCAGATTCGAGTGTGTTAATTCTATACGTGTATATGTGTACTTCGGTGAAGGCGCTTTGTATGTTTCTTGCCGTTAAACATTGCGACATACGTGACTTTAAACTGCAAAAAATATGTAAAAAGTGTCTTCGTGTATAAAAATAACACACTTGGATCTAGGGTAAACAACAGATTATTATAATCATACTTCATACGCGCACACACAATTGTCATAAAGTCATATACATATACTATATCATACATGTATGTCACACGAAACAAAGATACAATGTTTTATAAAAACTGAACTCTACTCTCGGGTTTTCAAGAAATGTAATTGTTTTCACACCGAAAAAAACCTGGAAAAATTTTAGACTTTAAGGCACAATTCTGCATATAATGTATCATTTTCAATGAAAGCATCAGTCGTTATCTGCATCTTATAGCGAATTTGGTTATTTGCAATAAGTGCGCACTAAGGCTTGTCTGCAGTCAATTCTTATATTCAAAGATCATCTTCAATATCACTTGAAATACTTCTTAGTAAAGTGATCTGTACAGCATTCATACGGATCGGTTTTTTCGCTCGATAATTTTTGAACATGTATTTATTTAAGAGACATCCTTAAATATAAGAATTGACTATAACAAGTCTTAACGTGCACTCAGTGCGCACTAGTGCAAGCAATTCGCTATTAGTCGCTTTGCGTCGACAAATCTTTCTCATGAAACTGAGCACTTTAAATTTAAATGTTTCTTTGCGTTAATATCGAAACAAAACATTATTTTCTATCTTCGTCAACAAGTCAGAGAGCTGCTCTGTAATCGATTTTAACTCTCCTAACTTATTTTCTCCTTCTAACATAAATCTCTTCTCCTGATATTTGGTGTACCGAAGCTACGCGGGTCACCGTAAACAGACGATTCAAACGCCGAGAAAGGCCTTAATGGCGGAGTTCGCGGACTGATACTTGGTGTGGTCGGAGTACAGATCGCCTTCTTTATCATCGCCGGAGATTTATCAGCTGCAAAAGGAACGTCATTAATGTCACAAATGCCGTTTCGAGAAAAACATCGTAACATTAACGTCAGTAAATGAAATAATGAAGAAACAAGGAATGGCACATACCAAAAATAGCTCTGTTCTTGATTGTTAAATCGACAGTCGCCACTTTGTGTTTCCAGACTGAAAAATATACAACTCACGTTAGTCAATGCTGAAGATGGCGTAAGCTTAGAAAGGTCGACTCTAGTCTTACCGTAAAAAATTGTGATCACAATAACGGCGAACGTTCCCAGCGTGTATCTGTGGAAATACATGTAATTCACCCATTGTACTCCGGACATAGGGATAAATTGGTTGTATCTTGCCACGCGTATGTGAAGCTGGAAAGAGAACCATTATATAAAATAACTACGTCGCTAACGTTAGTCACTTATACATTTAAAACACAGTTTACTTACCGATATGTTTTGCTTGGTCAAATCGTTTGCAATGAATATCTTTTGTCCCTGAATTTCATCCTGATCGTGCATTAAACGCAATCTGTATTGCATTGTAGATTTGGAAACAAGTTGCCAAGTGATGGCTACACCGTCCGGCGCGGTGACCTAACAGAAGAAATGCATTATTTCATAAAATTAATAAGTAAAATATGAATAATAATCGTTTCCTTCGCCAATAATTAAATAACAAACAAGTTATATTACTCGACCAAATATTGTTTCTTGTCCGTTATAGCCAAAACTGGCCATAATTTAAATAGAATAAGTTTATTGTGAAAAATATTACCTCACTCTGGCTGAGGTGTTATTTCCCGCAATAAATTTCTTCTAATTAAATTATAGTTCTGGTTAAATAATATTAATGTAATAAATTAAACTTAAAGAAAGATATACGAAATAAAAAATATTAACATCTAGTTTTTAATATTACAAAAGTTTTAAGCATTATAAGACATTTAATTCCAATATATAAATAATTCAATAAAGCTATAAGAATAAATAATTTTAAACGCGCCATTTCTCACGCGTAAACCTTTCATAAATTTTGAAGCAAGTATATTTTTTTAGATTCTCAAACAAACTTACAGTGAGATACTGCAACACCGACGGCAACCCATACACCTCAAGTACCATCGATGGTGCACCACCAGCATTCTGAGCAGTGACAAACGTGACCTCCTTGGCGTCAACGTATACAGGCGGCAAGTAAGCGAGTTCCACAGCTGCCGACTCGATGTCCCGGCTCTGGACGCTAATTTGAATACGGCTTTCTAATATACTGGCGGCCGCAGTTGGAGAACTCATCGGTATTACGTCGCAGTAATAGAAGCCTGTGATAAACAAAAAGAAAAAGACTCGTTACAACAAACGTATATCTTTTTCATTGCGCGTACAAGATCGCACCAACCTGTGACGATATCGAATCGCGGCTTCACGACGAACAGATCCTTCACGCCGATCGCCGAACTAGACGAAACAAACTGGATGTTACATGTGTAGGGAAACGTGTTCAGCGCAAATGACGATAAAGTCCGACAACCGCCCAGGCCTCTCGCCAGCACGTTATTCTCCTTGATCTCCTCGTCCTTTCCCTTCAGCACGAGGGGCACGCTGAAGGTTTCCGTGCCGGTGATGTTCCTTCCTCTTAAAGGAACGATGGATACCTGTGGGGGAAAAATATCGTTTTACAATACCGCGCCGCATTGCATCGTCATATCTCTTTGTTGAGCGATCAATTACCTGCGCGACTGGTAAAACGTTGACTTCGATTTCACTCTGCACGTGCGTCGCGAGGCTGTGCTTTATAACAGCGTAGCCGGCGTTTCGCGCGCGACCTATGCCCGTGATGGGATCCACCAAGAGTATTTCGGGCGCGGAGGACTGCCAGTACCCTGGATCGCCGTCGGCCGAGAGAAGCGGCATGGAGAAGCACGCTATATCGCCGACAGTCAGGGTGGTCTTGGTCGGAAATATGATATCGCCGATCATCATGTGAACGTAGTCGAACATTCCATTGGGATGCTTCTCGTTTAAGGTCTTCATGACCAGTTCGCCGTTCTCGAGGAACTTGGCAGTGATGACATTGCCGGCGCCCGTGGCGAACGACGCCAGATCGGCGCGATTCAGCATGGCCTTGACGGTCGTCTCGGCGGCGTGGAACTTATTCCCCACGTTGTCGTAATACTCGACGACGTAGTCCAGCTCCATTCCCTTCGGCAACATGTTCAACTCCTCGCCGTTCCGTATGCGCAGCTTCGACTTGAGGGAAAGCATCATGTAATGAATAGGCTTGACCTCGACCACCACCGTCAACGATTGCTTCAAGTTGTACGCCTCCGTGTTCGTGACGGAGATGATCGTCTGGCCGTGGTGCTCGCCGGATTTCACGATTCCGTTTTTCTCCACGGTCACGGTCCTCGCGACGGACGTCAAGGCGTGTGGATCCTGGGACTCGTCGCCGTACGTGCTCGACAGGATCCGGTAGGTCGTCGTGCCGTGCCGGTCGCGATTGGTCTGCAGCCGCAGAACGGAATTCGGCGACATCAGCACCGTCGACGTCGTCGTGTCTCCCGACAACGGTGGCTCGATCAGGCGCATCTCCTCGAAAATCTCGATCTTCACGAACGTGGTGTAGACGATGTCGTTCTTGCTGTAACTGGACAGCATGTTGCAGGGCACAGTGGTGTTCAGATAGATGGTCGCGACGCCCGGGCTCACGGCCCTGGCCCTCAGCGACACCTGATTCTGGTATCGGATGTTGATGCCGGTGCCCTCGTACATGTTGTGCAGGGTCAGCAGGCCGGGGTCGCTCGACGACCACGCGAAGCTCAGCGGCAGTTGCATGGAGCCGATGATGAGCGGTGTGAGGTAATCGGGGATGCCGAACGCCCAGAGGGGAAACGTCGCGCCTACCCTCACCCTGTTGACCGGGGTCGAGATCTTGACTCCCTCGAGATGCAGCACGTATATATCGGCACGATCCTCCGAGTAGACGACCTTGTTGCCCCTGGCGTCGAGACCGACGGCGCGCACGTGAATCCCAGTCCAGCCCGCCGATCGTCCCTCGAGGATCCCGTTGCGATCGACGCGCAGAATGTCGCCGCTCTCCGTCGAGAACTCGATCTCGGCGTTAGGCGGACCGCCGACGGTCTGCATCTGATAAATGGTGCCGATCAATATCGTCAGGTTCCGCGGCTGCACTCGCAGCGGGACAAACACCTGCATGGTGATCGGCTCGCTGCGTATCTCACGGTCACCCGTCTTCACGAACGTCAGCTGGCTCTCGCCCTCCGACAAGCCGTGAATTTTGTACAGTATCCGCTCGTAGGGCGCGGCATCTTGCTCACTGGCGGGCAGCTGCTTGATCTCGATACGCTCGTTGTCGATCTCCGCGCGGAAATCAAGCGCGCCGAGAGACGGCAGTCTCACCACGTGATCGTTGGTGTCGTGAAGCATCAGTGCGGCTGTCACGCATTTCCCCTTCTCGATCTTATCCACGGTGTCCACCTCGATCGCCGCGAGCTGTTGCACCTCCACCTCCACCTCCGCCAACTTGGAGGGTAGACAGAGGTCCATCAATGCGATATGAAGCACACCAGGCTTCTTCGGCGTCACGCTGATCGTTCTCGTCGTATCCATATACCGGATATCTGCTATGTCCTTCGAGCTGAGGATGAATTCATAGTAACCGGAGCCTTGGCTGACCTGCAAGTACGACTTCATGCTCGAATCGTTCAAGATTATCAATTTATCGGGGCTGACGACGGTGTCGTTCACCAGAGTCGCCTCTATGGAGGCTTCTATCAGCGGAGTCTCCACTATGCCCCTCTCGTTCTCGAAGGGAAACGGCGGCCATTCTGGCGTGATTTTCAGTTTGTTTAGAACGACCTTCTGGTAGCCGATCACAGTCGCGAATATCGTGAGAATCCCGTGGTGCTTCTTGAAAATGATATTCTGGTAATGACTCTTGGGCAGAATCACGTCCATGTCCGTCCACGTCTCTTCCATCGTGCTGGACTGGACCTCCACGGTGCCGCTGCCCGACGGCCTCAGGTTCCACTCGATGTTCAAGCTCGTGACATTGTCGAACCGCCTGCCGTCCTCGTCCTTGACGATCACGGCGATCTTCAGACGCTTATCGCTGTGCGCGATTATCTTGTCCGTGTTCTGGCCAATCGGGCAATTCTTGTCGTGCGTACCTCCGAACTCCGGCTGCAGATAGATGTACCTGGGCTTGCCGCAGACAATCTCGATCGATTCCCACGCGCGGGTGCGCCGACAGTTGGCGAACAGGGGCACGTTCGACACCTCGTACGTCAGCACGGTTTTACCCAACGCCCTGCAGATCACTTTGAAGACAGTTCTGTCGAAGGGCCCGTTCAACGAGTCCTCGTATTCGGCCACTTCGGCGATCTTCTCGTGCGACAGATGTATCTCCCGCGAGTAATCCTGCGACTTGTTCGTCCACGGCAGCGGCCCGCCCTTGAACACCACGTATCTCGAGGATCCCACGGCGAGTAACGTTCCCTTGCCCGCGGGATGTATCGCCACGAGCGGCTCGTACGCCGACACGGTGATGTTGTCCGTTAAATAATGGTCGATCACGTCGTTGTTGTTCGCGTTGTAGGCGACCGTCACGTCGGACGTCCCGACGCTGCGATAGTTGGTCACGGTTATCACCGCGCACGCGGCGCCGATCGGCTGCACGCTGCTCTTGTCGTAACTCCGCACGAAGTTCACGTCTGGGATGTGCACCTCGAAATCGACGTCCCTGCAGTCGCTGAAGGGTATCTCCTTGGCGTCGGACCCGTTGATCAGCAGCCCGAATAGCGCGACGTGCAAGTGTATAGGCTCCCCAATAGCCGCCTCCATCTGATACTCAATAATCTTCAGCTTTACAGGCGGTAACACGTGTATTTTCGCCGTGTCTACGTTGTACTGATTTCTCGCCATCGTGACGACCACTTCCGCCGTGCCCGCTGACAGAATCTTGATACCGCCGTTCTGCGAGACGGCAAGTATCGACGGCTGCCTGCTCGACCAAACGTACGACCCATCTCCACCGCTCGCCTTCAACATCACGTCGAATCTGGAATAGTGATAAAAAGTAGTAAGATAAATCTACGTTAATTCTTTTGACGCATTGTAGCAATTTCTCCAGGGAAGAATAACAGAAGAATATTAAATAAGATATGAAATATAGCAATTCCTCTACGCTCACTTGGACTTGTTCACGACGTCCCATGGAACGGCCAGGACGCGGGGCTGAACCTTGACCGGCGTGTGTATCGTCAGCTCGGATCTAGTAGTGAGCTGCGGCTCAGAGGCGATCCTCTTGCCGTGTTCGTCGATTATGCCGCGCAGCGTTGCCTCCACGATCGTCGTCCCGCAGGTGATCGGTATCACGACGGCGTAAGTGCCGTTCTGCGTAACCGACTGCGGCTCCAGGTACAGCTCGTTTATCTTCATGGAGACTTCCACGCCCTCGCCGATGTGGAACTTGTGATCCTTGCTATCGTACAGTTCAACGACGATATCGTGTGCGTGGCCCAATACCAGTCCCCGGTTTCTGTTTGGCAAGACGGAAAGGGAGATGTACGCGACTTGGTCGTGTACATTCACGACGGCGGAGGGTAGAATGACCGGGTACTCCTCGCGGACGTTCTTGTCGTGCAGGAACACCTTCGTGCGCCCCTTCTTGCGCCCGTAGGCGAAATCGTGGTCGTTGTCGATCTCCAGTACGTCAGCATTCTCGGCCTCCAAGTAATACTGGCTTACAGGTAGGCTGATCTCCTCCAGGCGACCCTGGCGCGTGTGCATTATCTTGTACCTGAAGCTGTCGTGTGCCATTATCGTTATCTCCGACGGAATGATGATCAAATTGGCGATGACGACCAGCTCCAGCTCTATGGACGGCACGTACTCGTACTCTGAATGCGGCAGCCTAACCGATACCTTAGCAGTGCCGGTCCTGACACCCTCTATGAGAACGATGTGACCCCGCTTGCCGACGCTGTCTAACGCGGCGATGCTGACAGGCCTCTCGTACTGCGACTCCTCGTAGGTCATGAAACGCAACACGTTGCTCGCGAATCTACCGTCGGACGGCGTGTGCTTGTCGGCGTCGCCGATTGTCCACACGAACTCGATGCCCGCCAGCGTCGTGAACTCGTTCCCGTGCTCGTCGTACGCCCGCACCTCGAACGCCTCGGGTATGTCCTCGATGTACAATTCCCTCGTGGTGGTGATGAGATTCAGAGAGAAAATTGCGTCCACTATAACGTCGCATCGCAGAAAGTGGCCGGTGCCGATGTCCTCCGCCAGAACGATCGCGGTGTTCCTCGTCAGCTCTCGCGTCACGGTTTGAATCAGTATCGCCTGCGAGCACGTCATGTCGAAGTTCTCGTTTATGGGGATCAGTTGTATGATGTCTAGACGCGAGGTCGACCTGTGGGGAAACAACGAACCGTAAAAAACTGTGAACAATTGAGTATCCCGAGGGAGTTTCCCCGCGGCACAAAATTTGCCACGCGCAGACGTAAGTGAAGCGTCGCAGTGCGCTCACTTTGAAGTATCTGAACGTTGAATACTAATTCCGTCAACTCCTGGGGGAGGCAGATGCAATTCTGTATCTTACAATATAGTGAAAATGTTAAGAGCGGCTTTGTCTCTTTCTAAGAGGACAATTAAACAGAGACAGAGTTACTTTTAGTATTTTCACTGTGGTGTAAGACACAGAGTGACCCCCTGGCCTCTTCCATTTTAAACAAGAAAGAGAGCTCTACGCGGTCGTTAGGTTCGTTTTCTGTTCCTGCACCGGTGAATTAGCGCGATAAATTCGAGTGAGGCGAGAATGTATTTTCTCGATCCAGCTCGCTGCACTAGTTTACCAATGCGGGAACAGAAAGCGAACCTTTTAATTCACGGGGAATCGCCACTGCGTCGTCGGTGGCGCGAAAGGTGCGCGGACGTTACCGCCAACGGCCGGCGAGGTTATGGTGCGACCGGCAACGTGCCGTGCGACGGCAAGTTCGTGCTCGACGGGGAAAGGGGCGATTCCGCGCGAGGAACGGGAGGAAGGAGAGACGTAATCACCATTTGTAGCAACCGCCGTCCGTCACCTCCAGCGTGAAATTCACCGCGAAGTTGTTGAACGCGGGCAGCAGGACCCGGGGCACGTTAAGTCGGTGCGCCGTGGAGACCGTTGCCGAGTGGAACGTCACGACGAGGCCGACGAGCAGCACGGCTCTCCGAAGCGTCGTCGACCCGTGCATGTTGACGCGCGGCGACTTATCTTAGGTTATCGGCGCCGCGTACTCGCGCGATCTCGAACTCCTCGAACCGTTTCAAACGTGAAGAACAGCGTCCGTGGACGCGTCCATACTGCGCGAGATATCGAAAGAGGAGGGGGGGGGGGAGAACTTGTTGCGTTGAGCTCTGCGCGTGCGCGCGGACCGCTGAGAAGAGTGGCCAATCGTTTGAGGGTAAGAAATATTGCTCGACGTGATTGGTCGAACTTCCATACTCATTAGCCTTGTTTACACTGGTTTAAAGGTACCATTTCATGCGCAGCATACTGCCGCAGCAACTCGCTGCTATTGGTTGAAGAATTGTTACTAGATGCTGCAAAATAAATTTCACCATATTTTGCTTCATCGCTGTGAAGTTCAATTGAACGAACAGCAAAGCAGCAGACCCGCGATTTAGCCGGCCAGTGCTGCTGCAGCTATTCCTTTTCTGTGAGCAGCAAATATGCTTTAGTGAATTTGGATCACGTGACTAATTTGCTGCTGCTGCATGCTGCCTATGAAAAGGCACCTTAAGCCTCCGCTACAATGCCTGTGTCCAGCAGAAGTTAGCGCTTGCTAAGCGCTGCTAAGCGCTTTGCGTTCATTGGATTATACTTTCAGATCTGTGCTGAAATAGAGCTATTCTTCTAGATCTATCCAATCAGCATAAAGCGCTTATTAAGAGCTAACTTCTGGAGAACACAGCCATTGGCCGCGTTCAGCAGACACAACTGTTGAGTGAGCGCTCAATGATTTCTTAAGCCCG